CATGTCAGCAAGTTTCACATGGGTTTAAGTTCACAGGAAAGTGGTTTTCAAAACAGCATGGAATTTAGGATCAAGAGGCATACGGAAGTCCAAAATAAAGTTGAAAAAACCGTCCCTTTTAAGAGCTAAGGAGTTCACAGGCTACTGAATCTTAGAAAGGGGACAAGAACCCATTTGGCAGCATCAGTTTATAAGGGAGCAGGTGGGGACAGGATAGATGCGCTGCAGTCAGATTAGTGCTAAACTCGGGATGACAGGGGCTGCATCCTCCACTGCCATGTGTCCATCCTTTATGGGCTCTTCCTCCTCAGGGGGATTCTCACCTGCTGTCCGGTGGAAAATAAAGGAGAGGGGTTGGTGTCTTTGGGTTCTGGCGGATGGCTGCTTGTGCAGACGTTCCCCCTCCACCTGATTTTGGAGCCTGTCTGGTGTCTATGCCCAATTATTGCCATGGTGAGAGCGTGGACGCTTGCTTCCTATGCTCCTTAAGACCAACACTCTTTAAAGCGGTCCTCGAGAAGAGCGTGCGTTATTTACAAGCTGGACGGCCCAGCAACCAGAGGTTTCTTCCCACGTGGAACCATGATGCTTTGAAATATTTAGTTCAAAAGGGAAAGAAAATAAAAGAAAGAAAAGGAAAAATTCACAAGAAACTGTACCTGCAGTGAAAGCTGAACATAAATCCTGTCTTCCAGGCACCAGGGAGCAGCCTCTCAGACTGGAAAACTGTGGGACTCTGGCAGCGACTGTCCACACCCACATCTGGGTGCTGGAGAACAGTGAGGGCACATTTTAGCCCTCTTATGAGGTGAGACTTGATCTCTTCTCGTGTATAAACTGAAGATCCTGCTATCTACGGGCACCAAGAGGACAGGGAAATGTGCCTGGATGGCCAGGAAAACATTGCCACTGTTATCCTTAGGCCACTGATGCTAGGTTCTTGGACCTGTCCAGTGCCTTAAAGAGCCTCTTTAACGAGTGGATGGTGAACATCGGAGGGGCTTAACTATCTACTCGGTGCTGCATTATGCCAGGAGTGGTATTCCACTGAATTCTCTAGCACACAAGCAAAAGAGGGCTACCCCACTGCTAAGAAAGAAACATCACAGGGGCCAGGAGCGCTTGGGTTCAGCAGAAAATGGCTCCTTTTCTGATACATTTTATTGACCTGCCTGTTTTCTGACAAAATGATCACCTGCAGGGGTTGTAGTGTGCATAGACGGGGTACCCTGGTGGCCATCAGTAGATGGCAGGTATTCTGGGAAACAACGGCAGTCCAAACCGCCATGGAATGGACCTGGGGGACAAGGAATCACAGTCATGGAGGCGGCAGGTCTGGAAGCCACAACAGGCATCCAGCGATGGCACGAGGGCAGCAGCCCAGCCACGGGGAGGGGCGCAGATGGCACATGTCCCCGGGCTGGTCTGGGGGTGCCAGGAGCGTGGGAGGCATGGCAGCAAAGCTACCAGCGGCCTGTAGGAATGCACATGGGCAGAAGGCAGGGCGAGACAGACCAGGGGGAAGGCCCCAGGCATGGCCATGGCAGCCATGGGAGTGTCAAGACCTGGGTGCCCTCAGGCTGGCCACTGGTCGGCCGGCCTCCTGCAGCATCCAGATCCAAGTTGGGCCTGGCTGCCATCCTTGGAATGGCTGGAGGGGCGGACTCACTCCTGACCGGGGTAGTAGGACTGTCAAGCTCTCGGCTACTCACCGGCTCCCACTTGTCCTCATTAGAGGTGGGGAGTTCCTCTGGTCGTTCAGTGGCTGCAGGTGCTGGGGGAATTCCCAGGGCTTCGGGCTTGCTCTCCACCTGCCTTAACCCAGATTTAATGCCCACTCTCCTCTTCATCCTCACGAGGAGGTGAGAGCAGGCTCCCTTAAACAAGGGACTGCTGTAGAACTGTAACTGAGATGCAAAATCGAAAGAGGAAAAGAAATCCCAAGTCACAACAGAGTTGATCACAACCAGCACCAACATTCTAGGCCCCTGTGTGACCTAAGCCAGTGGTCCAGAGACCTCTTTGGAGGAGATCGCAGTCCCAACAGGAAGGTGTGCACTAGCTTGCCCATCATCCCCATTCACTGACTTATGACCTGCACATCACCTGGGACAAGGAATACAAGGGGCCAAGTGGGGTAAGCGTATAAGTCCGACAAAGGGGGACGTGGAGTCTGCAGATGGGGAGAGATCTGGCGGCTCTATGAGCAAGTGTCAGCTGGCAACAGAATTGCCCCGTTGCTGGGAGTTGCTCTTGGCCCGCAGGGGCCCGCTGAACTTGGCAAGCACACCCATTTGGCCAGTCTTCAGCAGGCTTCAAAAAGTGCTTGGGGGCTAGCACCCCCAGACCAGCCCAGGGACACAGCTCTTTCACCAAAAGGGACCCGTACACCCACCTCAGTTATGGTTTAGAGCTATGGGCATCATGCATGCACACGTCCCCGGTGACATTTGTCACTTGTCCCCGAGCAGGAGGGCATGAAGATACAGTGTCTCCCAAGTTTTATTGAGATGGGATTGTCAGGCAGCACTCTGTTTAGGGTGCACAGAGCAATGCCTTCGCCTACGTGTGCTGTGGAGTGATGGCCACAGCACACTCAGGGCATGCCCATCACCTCACATAGACACCAAACCAAAAGAAAAAATTAAGAAACGGGGAAAGAGAAAAAAGCAGGTGGCAACAAGGAAAAAGTTTTCCCCGTGCGACGAGAACTCTTAGGATCTACTCTCTTAACCACGTGCCAGCATCCCACCCTGCAGCATGTGCTCTTGTCATCATGCGCTGGGCCTTTGAAGAAAGCGCTCAGGACACCCTTGGCACCATCCGGAGCACCTTCCCCATTTTCAGTCTCTGCTGCCATTGCCACTGCCCATAGTGGGACACGGGCACCCAATCACCATTGGGGCTGCTGGGATTTCCAGCCCCCTGGACACCACCACCCAAGAGTCTGCGGGTTCAGCCCCTGGTGGGGGTGGGGTCACCCACCCTTACTTTGCTCAGCATGGGGTCTCCGGGGAAGAAGCTGGCCAGGCACATGGATGGGAGGACATCCTGAAGAATTTTGTTGAATCCATAGAGGATTCCATCGAGCTGGCAGATGAAACTTCATACAGTCTGTTTCAAACACTTTGTTCAGGCCATGCCTCTCCAAAAACTCCTTCTGGAACAGTTTCTCGTTGATGCCTATGCAAGTCCCATCATCGTCCCACCAAATGGATGCAAACTGATTGCTGTTAACAATGTTCCGCAGCTTCTTGGGGAAGGGCAGGCAGAGGAAATTGCCTGCTCCCAAGGACAGGGCGTCACAGGTGGTGCGTGGCCTTTTGAACAAAGGCTCCTCAGTCAAAGCTTGCGAAGTATTTTCTTCAAGCAGCAGCCTGAAGCCAGGGTGTGGGGAGGGTCTGCTGGGGGAGCATAGCTCTGCAAGCCAATTGCGGGAACCCCTATTTCCGGAGGAAACGGCCCATCCTGAAGCCAGGCTCCTGGCCTGTCGGATGACTTTTCTTGTGGTTAGCCATCCTTGGCGGTGGTGCATCCTTCCTTCCTGTAAACATGAGAGTGTATCGTGGCCAGCAGCACCCCTTGCTAACAGTGCAGCTTGAGACACCACAAAGGGGCTCGGGTCACTTGGGGGTGACATCGCAACACAGCTAGCCGGTAACCTAATAAAAGGCCAGCCATGCAAGTGACCTGTCAGTGTGCCAACATTCTGGTCACACAAGGTAGTTCACCCGGAAAGCCGACACTCATCTACAGGTTTAAAGTAACCATACCAAACATGGGGGAAAACCACCAACTGTCTTTGTGTCCTCGATCTCCCAGGACCTGGCTGACCCACACTGATGTGCTGCCCAAAGGTCAGAGCTCATTTTCTGAGGCCGTGGCCTTGAGAGCCCCAGATGTATACTTTCAAACAGGCAGCAGAAGCCAGGACGGGTGTCCAGGGTCAAGGGAGTAGCCACACGGTCCTTTCAGCATTGTCACAGCCAGGACGGCGAGGTCCTCCACAGAGACCCTCCTAATTCACCCACGCCTGGGTCACCCGAAGGCACATGGAGACTGCTACTTAGGTGAATGGGTTAGCCAAGGGACCCACCGCCACCTTGCACAATGACGAGGGGGAGGAGGCCTTCTCTTTGCCTCTCCTCAGCCTGCACGTTGCCCCTCTCTGCACCCCACCAATGCCTCCCGGGCAGATTCCCGTGCCCGTCGGGACAAGGCACGAGCCACGGGCCTCACGCTGGCTTACTTTCCTTGACTGATGTCTGTAGGGACACCCGGTTTGTGCCCAGGGTTTGAGCTCTGCAATCCTTGCCTGGGGGGCGGGGCTGGGAGAATCAGTAAGAGGCGGCCGTGCAGAGAAGCCTCTCTCGCACATTCTCCCCACGTGCAGGGCCACCTACCCTGAAGACCCACCACACACACTCGATTCTAGGCAGGAAGTCAATGATCTTCCAGACATTTCCATGAAGCAGAAATGCCTCCACACTCCAGGGCATTCTGTCTAACAGCAAGTCTGAAATACGGTCTGTGGCCTTTGGCTACCTGCAGGCGAACCATGGGCTGAAAAGCCATCTGACTCAAATGCCCGGTAAAATGCAGAGACAGCTAGGCAAGCTAGGCAGAAATCACAGGGGATTTTAAATGTAAGTAGCACTCTGCCGCTGGTGTCACCGAGCAATGCCCCAGGATCACTAAAAAGCCCATTTCAGTTTTAGACTGTCTTGGGTCTCAGGAGTACTCTCGTAAGGCTCCTAAGCTATCCCAATGATGGCACGGGGTTCCCCAGCCAATGGTCGAGTCTCCATGATGTCCGTGTCTGCCTACACTCTATAGGTTCAGGCTGTACCTGAAGACTCATCAGAGATGTTCACCCACCCCCACACGCCTTGACCGCCTGTGGCAGCTACAAGGTGTTTCATGCTGGCCGAGAAGAACCCAAGCGTCCTGGACTGACCGTATCTCATGGAAGATGCACGCAGTACCATGGAAAAGGAGGAACCAGTTTATTGAACAACTGCAGGGAGCAAAAATAGTGGATTGAGCTACATTTGTTACACAGCAAGCAAGAAAGGCTATGCCATTCCCAACGTTCCCCCTCCCCCCCAGAGACAACAGGCTTGCTGGGCGCCGCTTCCAGGCGGTCTCGTGTGCTGGACGTCGGCTGAGCCTGACGGAGAGACGTCAGCAGCTGCCCCCGTTAAACCCTTCCCTCTCCTGCGTGACAATGCCAGTGCGCCTTTTCCCTCTTTTCACAAACGGCTACTTGTTCTCAGGCCAAAGGCTCTTATCCTGGAGGATCTGCTTTCTTCTGCTTCGCCCAGGGCTCTACCAGCAGCTCTTGGAGCAAGTGTACTCCTAGTTGAAAGCACGGGGCTGGCCGGCCAGAAGGACTTTTGTTGGGGGCCCGACAAAGGGCCTCAGACCCTAACAAACACGTGATTCCAGTGGCTGTTTCCAGTTTCAGCAACTCCTTCCAGTTTCTCTAGTTTCAGCTCACGCACATATTCCCAGAATGTAGGAAAAGCACAAACCATTTCTTGCTTATTGTGGCTGTTCTGGCAGTAGCAGCCACTGTGTGTGTGGAGGATTTCAAGGGGGGTGATGACGATGGCCCGTTAAGGGGTGACACCCCCTGGGCAGGACAGGTGCGCCAGCAGCTTCTGCTTCTGCAACAGAACACACGTCTCCCATACAAGCTCGTAAAAAAATACTTTAACAGAATATACTGTACAGAACTAGGATTTAACACGGTATATTACAATGCTAAAATATTTGTATAAATACTATACAGGCACGGAGTCACTCCATTGGAAAGGGCTCACCGATGGGGCCATTAAAAACTGCTGTCAGCATTGCCCAAAGAGAAACGACTTCCACAGCAGGAACACAAACAGTAATGACAGTGTAGGTACACTCGTGGTGCCACAGAGGCGTATTTACAGTTCCTACTGACTACGCTGCGACAGGAGAATCTAAGCTACATGGTGTGGCCGGCCTGGTCTAAAAAACCATTTTCAAAGAACACTTTCAATAGGAATTTTAGCACTTTGAAAACCAGCTCCTTTTCTGGCCTAAGCAGCCATCCCTAACAGATCCAAGTCAGCTCCTGAGGCGCCTGCCCAGAGGTGATGGCTTTCCCCTTCTCACACACGCTCCCTCCTTCACGCCCACGTCCACTGACACGCGCCCTAGCCCAGCCCGCACTGCGGGTGCCAGTCACCTGCCATGTGTGTGTCCCGTCAGGGTGAGTCACTGGTAGGCATTGAGTGCAAACAAGGCATGAGATGGAAGTTCCCGGAGCCCTGGCCTCGGCTCCAGTTCTGGGTGGGGTCAACAAAGAGGCAGAGGAGGGTAGGAGACAGCGTGCGTGCGTCCCGGTGGTCCGCTTGCATTCTGTCCAAGGAAGTGGTGTCTAATCTGGCATTTCAATATTCAGTTTGGGAGGTGGGAGGACATACTTCCCAGGGCTCTGGGTGATAACGACCCTGGTCTTCTTCCGAAACATTGGAGCAATTTTAGGAGGTTCTGGAACTGGGGTTTCTTCGGTTTCCTCAGTATCTTCATGATGGAGGTCGTAGGAAATGTTTCCATATTCTCTCAAAAATGGGAAGATTTCAAGCAGAAACTGACAGAAATCCTTGCGAATACCAAACCACCCTGAAAAAGAAGTATGAAAAACCTTTTTCAAACACTAGCCTCCACTGAATTTCGTGTGACTTTTCTTTCCTGAATGTGACGTTTTACACGTACCGTTTAATGCTTTATCCTGATGTCTTAGAAATGAAGATAGAGCAAGGCCTGAATAGCCACTAAGGGCAAGGGGAAAGGCCTGTGGCTCCGTGGCTCTCCAAGTGGGGCCCCCAGGCTGGCAGTGACCACACGAACCCCTGCAACCTTGTTAGGGATGGGAAACTGTGGGTGAGGTGGGGCGGCCACAGGCACAGGCCTTCCGGGACTCGGATGGCTGCTCCAATGAGAAGGACCACTCTAGCAATGTCAAGTCCCTGCGGCATCAAGACTTTGTCAACATCCTCCCATCTGCCCCGCCTGGGATACGCTCACATGTGACAAAGAATGTCAAGGATGTCATCCCAGAAAGGGACTTCTGTCAGTATCTGGCAGGCACATTGGTCCAGGCAGGCAGGCAGCCTGAGCTACTTCTCAAAGTTACTTCTCTGAGGCCTGCTCTTGCTGTCTGTACCATGGGACCATCAGCTCAGTGCTGGCTCTCCCAGGGCACAATGTGCCCCGCCCCCATCCCCCTGGCTTTTAGAATGGTGTGCTCTGGGGCTACCCGCAGAGGAGTTCACAGTCTAGTGAGGAGGGAACCTCTGTCAAGGATCACTTCAAAACCGAATGTGCCATCGTGTGGGTGGAGAGAGAAGAGAGAGCAAGCAGAGCACCGCTGACAAGACACAGTGATGTCAGGAATGTCACTGGGGAGAATGAAGAGGACACAGAACCTAAAAGGACTCTCAGGATTTGGTTGGCGACATGGATCTTCGTCTGATCAATCCTTGGGAGCCCCTGGAAAGCAGGTATCTTTTTTTTTTTTTTTTTTCCAACATTTATTTATTTTTGGGACAGAGAGAGACAGAGCATGAACGGGGGAGGGGCAGAGAGAGAGGAAGACACAGAATCGGAAACAGGCTCCAGGCTCTGAGCCATCAGCCCAGAGCCTGACGCGGGGCTCGAACTCACGGACCGCGAGATCGTGACCTGGCTGAAGTCGGACGCTTAACCGACTGCGCCACCCAGGCGCCCCATCAGGTATCTTGATCCCCATGTTGCAGCAGAGGGGATGGGGCTGAGAGGCTACCTACCATGGTCAGTCCTACCTCAAATGGCAGAGCGTACACTAGGAAGGCCATGGTGTGGGGCAGGGAAAGCAAGGTTGAAAGCTCACCCTTTCCTTGGAAAATTCCAGGGCTTCCTCAGGTCCAGATTTCCCACACGACCTCCCTGAGCGCAGACCCTCAGGCTCATCTTTTCAAAGAGTGGGGCCACGTGCATGCACACGCACACGCACACACACACATGCACATACACACACACACACACACACACAGGTCAAAGGCTTCTGAAGTGCTGAGTACATACAGTGGTTTCCTCCCTTCTGTCCAAATGTGGTTGCCATCAGAGTGATCAAGGAGAGCCAAAGGGGGACAAATATTGGGATACAAGAGAATGCGTTGTGGCCATCCAGTTTGTGAACCAACAGGATCTAAGGAAAGAGAAACAGTTGAGGTTCTATTGATAAAGCATCTGAGGGTGGACGATGTCTGAAGCCAGTCCACCCTTCCCTTGTCAGGTGTCATAAGGGGAAAAGTCAGCTCCACAGGAGACTACGAAACCCTCTATTCTGTGGGACAGAATGAGATAAGCTTTTGTATCCCTCTTCAGGACTAAGCAAAATCTGTCCATTTGGGAAGTTTCCAACACCAACATTGTTACAGGAGGCTCCTCTGGTGTTTGTTCTAAAGAGTCAACAGTGTGCATTCTATAATCCTGCACAGAACTCAAAATACCAAAAACACCCAACGTTCTCTTTCTACATGTAAACAAATCAGTACACACCCATGCATCATGGCTAGAGAGACTTCTCACTGCCAGCCCCCCAAAAGAAAGGTCGCTCTAATTTTACCATCATCCTCTCCATGTGCTTTTCCGGGGCCAGCTCATTTCCAGGCAGAGCAGGCTGCCTTGACAGGCACGCAGGGTGCTGTCACAGGAAAGGGTGGGACTCGGGGCCTGAAGAGTTCTGCTGTCGAAAGCTTACCTCAAAAGTAAGGAGAGGCACGACAATGGTCATCCAGCTCAGTGCCATTGTTATGTGTGTCCTTCGCTGTTCTGCAATCACATCCATGGAACGCAGGAACAAAACAGACCACACGATGTAATAGAGGACCACCAGGCACAGAAAGGACATAAGAATCCACAGGGGAACACACACGACCTGAGGGAAGGAGGAGAGAAAAAAACCTTTATAGTTTGTGCCCAGCACCTCAAGGGAGGCATAGCCAAGCCCCCGATGGATCTCTGTAGCTAAGACAGTGTGCGCCCGAACGAGGACAGCCGTCCCGTACCCCAGGGGTGCCATGAAGGACAGTGTGGGGCCTGCCGCCCGCGCTGGGACATGCTCTGCTGTGGGCCACTCCTGGGGGAGGAGCCCAACAGCCGCCCTTCCTAAGATATGACCTCACTCAGCCAGTCCCTGGCTCTGCCCTGCAGGGAACAGGGCAGCCTGCCACCCTGCGCACTCACCTCACCTGCCCCTGACATGCCCTCTCCACGGGCTGCTTCCCCATCCCACCAGAGGCACTTTGGCCAGAGACTCTGGGGGATGTGCTCCTGGGAACTTTCGCTGCCCGGGTTGCAGAAGCCCTCCGCTCACATGCACGCTGTCACTGACAGGGTTCTGCCACCTGGTCCCTGCCACCTTGCCCAGGCGGGTTACATGTTTGCTGCCGTTGCACCGGAAAGACCTGGCTTTACCCCTGCACGAGCCCAGAGAAGAGGCATTCGGGGCCCCACCAGTCTCCTCTGCGTGATCCTTCTCCTTCCTGTTCTGCCCCTTGGATCCGTCTGTCATCCTTCCGTCCCATGTTATCGAACGGTAAACTGACTTTTGGTATATACTTCTAGGATTTGTCACCCATGCACGTGCAGAACTGTGTATCCTCTGGCAGGACACAGGACAGCTCCTTTACCCCACAGGACTCCTCCGTGCTGCCCCTGCAGTGTCATACCCTCACCCCACCCCTACCCCATGCAACCACTGATCCATCCTCTATCACTAGCACTTTTATCTTTCCCAGAGCGTGATGTGCATGGCACCACAGAGCATGTGACATTCTGAGACTATCCTCTCTCAATCTGCAGAATGTCTGGGAGGTTCTTCCAGTCTGTTGTGTGTAACGACAGGTCGTTTTTAGTGCCGAGTGGTATTCTGCCAGACAGATGCACCACTGCCTGTTTATCGAGCCACCCGTGGAAGTTGATCTGGCTGCTTTCTCGTGTCTGGCTATCACAAATAAAGCTGCTGTGAACACCTGCGCGTGGCTTTTGTGTAGCTGTACATACTCATCTCTCTAGGGCAAATAACCAGGATTGGCGCTGCGGCGTCGTAGGGTGACTGCACGTTTAACTGGATACGAAATTGCCTGACTGTTTCTCAGAGTGCCTATGCAGTTCGGTACTCCCCCTGGCGGTGCACAAGTGTCCCGGCCCCTCCGCGCCCTCCCCTGCGCTTGGCATTGCTTTCTTTCTCCTTGCCATTCCAGTGAGTGTGCTGAAGGGCCTCGTCCTGATTTTCCTCTGCCTTTCCCTGATGGGTGATGACATCCTGTCCATGTGCGTATTTGTCGTGTGTCTATCCTCTTTGTGAACGGTCTTTCCAAGTCTTCTGTCAGTTTTAAAATTGGGTGGTTTTTTGAGTTTTGAGAGTTCTTTCAGATGTTTTGGATACAAGTCCTTGTTTGGACATGTGCTTTCCAAATATTTTCTGCTGCTCTGTGGCCTGTCTTTTCATTAATTCCATTTCAATTCTGAGCTTCTTTTATGGACCTTGTTGTTAGTGTCACTTGTAGGGACTCCTCATCTAACCCCAGGCCTCAAAGATTTTCTCCTACGTTTTCTTCAAATAGTACTTTGGTTTTCCATTTTGTTTTTAGACCTATGACTTGAGTTGGTGTGTGATTTTTAATCCTCTCGAATCGCTTGGAGTTGCTGATGGTAGGTCTGGCCGAAAAGTCTCTGGAGAGCCTCTTTCTTCCCTGTGTTCCCTCCTCATGCAGCTGCTCTCACTTGGGGCCCCCGTGGGTGGAATGTCCGTGATCATAGCAGCCTCACTCAGTCTCTCTTGATCATTGTGGGAAGTGCGCAATCAGACTGCTCCACCTGCTGGGACCTGCACAGGACTGGGGCCGGAAAAATCCCTCCATTCACCTACAGAAGACATTCTTCATTCCTCATCTTTTTTTTTTCTCTGAGGGCACCTTATACTAAAATTTCGGTCTTGCTCACATTTGTTTCCTCCATGTCACAACACAAAATTCTGAACCCAATTACGATTCCCCAGAGACGGCACCCTAAAAGTGTAGGACAGGTAGCCAAACGTTGTTTTATTACGACTGTTTTATCAAAGACTTGGGCAGAGGTGAAGAGTCTTGTCTCTGTTCACTATGGAGGTGACTTGTGTTCCTCATTTTCTTCCCTGTCACCAAATGAATATTTTCTTTTTTTACTCTATTTGTTACTTTTTCTTAAAGTAAACCACATTCACATGTAAAAGTACACATGAAACAGCAAAGAGGAAAAAAAAAAAACAGAAGAAAACACTGGCATGACCTCATCTCCCAGAGGCAACGCACCTCTTCCACCTCTGTTCTCTGCATCAGTAGTGGGAAGTCCTACTGTATTCTCTAATTTGTAGCTTGCCATGAGTACATACTTATATATATATGTAGCCCGATCGATCCATCCACCCGCCCTTCTATCCATCTATGTAGGCAATTTTAACCACACACCCAGTAACTGAGGCCACAGATTATACGCATGGCTTTACACCTCATCCCTGGAAGGAGTGTGAACTGACACAACTCTTTTGAGAAGCAAGCTGGTAGTGCAGTTTGTATTTCAAAATCTCAGAAAGCTCCCACCCAGTAATACTGTTTCCAGAGTCTTCCCTATGAAAACAATCAGGCAAAGATTTTTATGTACAAAGATATATGTTACATCATGGTTTAGAATCACACTCGTCTCAACTTCAATATTCGGAAATAAGGGGATGGTTTGGTAAATGCACTGGAAGAATACTGCATCAATTAAACCTTAGGTTATATTTATCAAGGCCTTTTCCACACAGGAAAATGCTTACGATGCATTAGAATGAGAAAGCAGTGCACAAAATGACACACACAGTACGCTCTCAGCCATCTGTATGAGACAATAACCTCCAGCACAGGAAACACAAACCACTAACTGGAGAATCTCCCAGGGGATTACAGGGGCTTATCATTCTATTACCTACGCTCCTCTGTCTTTTCCAAGTTTTCTACAATGAACACAAATTACGTTTATAATTAAAAAAAGAAAAGTTTATTTTAAGATTTTAAAAGTTACATACAAGCCAGGGCCAGTGGATGATCTTGTCCAGTCTTAAGGCAATGAATATAAACTGCAGGATGTTGACAGAACACAGTATTTCTAGCTAAAAATGAAGAGAAGAGTCAATTAAACAAAGTAAAAGTTGTATTCAATACTGCAATTATTTGGTTGACACACTAAAAGGCAATGCGAATTACAACATGGTAAAAGTTTTAGCAAGTTATAGTGGGACCTCCAGGGGTGCCGGGGTGGCTCACCCAGGTTAAGCACTGACTGGCTCCGGTCACGATCTCACGGTTCATGACTTCAAGCCCCACATCGGGCTCTGTGCTGACAGTGTGGAACCCGCTTGGGATTCTCCTCTCTCCCTCTCTCTCCGCCTCTCCCCGACTTGCACACACTTTCTCTCTCTCTCTATTTTGAGAGACAGTTTATTTATTACTTTATAAATAAATAAACTTAAAAAATTATACTGGGACCTCCTGATTTTCAGCACCACAGGAACAAAGCAATGCAGCGGCAAAAAGAAACCTGCCCCCGGTCTCCTGCCTCAGGCCCTCTACTTAGTGGCTGCTCTGTCCTTTACACTCTTACCAAACAATAACTTTGTTTCCAGGCTCGCTGAGTAGAGGCAATCCGTGGCAGACACCCCAAGCATCCTTCTTGCCCCTACCCACAAACTTCTTGATTTCTAACCATACCTGTATCTCTTTCTTCTTGTACTCAGGACTCAGATCTACACCCCACCCCTTCCTTTCTGGTTCCTTGAAGACCTTGTCACATCAAGACATCAATTACAGATTCCTTACTGCATCTTTTTTTTTTAATGTTTATTTTTGAGAGAGAGACAGAGACAGAGTGCGAGTGGGGGAGGGGCAGAGAGAGAGGGAGACACAGCATCCAAAGCAGGCTCCAGACTCAGCTGTCAGCACAGAGCCAACGTGGGGCTTGGACTCACGAACAGTGAGATCATGACTTGAGCCTTAGATGTTCAAACAACTGAGCCACCAGGCGCCCTTCCTTATTGCATCTTTAGCCCTGCCTATTCCACTGATCCCTCCCAGAAGCACAGAAAAAAATTCAAGTCATTCTCATCAAACACAAAACAACCCCAAGACCAAATGAACCCATCCGTCCCTGGAGTCAGCATCCCCTCCAGCCACAGCACTTTCTGTTTCCATCAAGCTATATAAGACCTCCTGGATGCGCAAGCCCCCCTGGCCTCCCCTGCCATTCTGAGCTCTCAGCACTGTGATCCGGCCCCCAGCCCTGACCACTGGTGACTGCTTCTATCAACGTCGCCAGTCACCTCTATAGCATCAGACCCCCTATGTCAGATCATCCTACGGGGCATCTATGTGGCACGTCTTTCCAGGAGCCCACTGCAGTCTTACCCTCCTCCTCGTGCTCTTACAGCTCCTTTTCAGTCTCCTCCTCTCCTTAAACCCTGATTTCCCCCCAGAGCCTTCAACTCAGTCTTCTGTCCCCACTAGAGAGGCACAGATGCAAACACACATGCTTACACTTGCTTGCCCTGCCGTCCAGAGCCTTGTCTTGTATGACCTCCTGTTGGTTGCTTCTCCCACTCCTGTCTCTGACCTAGCCTTCCCGCTGTGGTCCAGACCCAGCCCTCCCAGAGGTGCCTTGGCTGGAGCCGGCCCCGGACTGAGTCCGTTATCCCCTCGCACCTTTACAACTTTATCCCGTCCCACTCCCTTCCATAGCCTCCTGCCTTGAAGGTTGGGTGGTAAGGCACCACACTGGCCCAATCACCCAAGCCACACTGCCAGCAAGCACCCTATATTCTTTTTCCCACTCTTGCATGCTCAGGCACCATGTCCTGTCCTCTCTACCACCCTGAGGACCACTGCCTAGTCAGGACCTTCCCCTCACCAGCCCCCCCAAATGCCTCCAACAGGCCCCTAACTAGCTTCCCAGCCTCCAGTCTGGAAGGCTCTCTGCTCCCCAGTATCTGGGCTGTCTTCCTTCTGGCCGTGGCACTCACTGCTCTTCAATGGCTTGCCACTGCCTACAAAATGAAACTCACAGGAAGCCATCTGATCTGGCCCAGAGCTTCCCCAAAGTTCTCAGCTCACAGGGCATTTAGTGAGGTAGTAATTCTTTCATAGGCCTCTGGGCTGAAAGAAATCCTTAGCAGTTCCACTGGGTTAAGTATTTAGATCTAAACTTAGTAAGTATTTATGTCCTGAGTAGCCATCTAAAAAAAAAAAAAAAACCTCATATAAATTGAAAGAAAAATATGATTTTTATCTCCTTCTTAAAGAACCACAACTGTTCCCTAAGAGGATGTGTGTGCTTATTGGGTACTGTATCATTTCTTAAGACAGTGCCACCCTCATTACCTGTTCTCCAGGTAGATTTTTGCACAGGACTACCTTTGCATCATGGCAACTGGCAACAACCTTGCTTCTTATACGGTATCATCAAAACCAATGTAGTGTGACCAAAAAATAAAATGGTAAACTACTTGGAGGTAGTAGTTCATATCATGTCCCCAAGGCCGGTTGCTGTCATTGCTTCTCCCTCAAAAATGTCCAATATCCCACGGTGCCCTGTGAGTTCACTATGGCTCAGTGCACGCTCTGAGGACTGAGGATCTGGCCCCTACTCAGCTCTTCTCTATGGCCTTCCTTTCCCCAACTCCCGCCACTGTCTCCTTTCCACTTCGTGTTCTAGGCAACCTTTTTTTTTCTCTTTTTTTACCATGGTAAAATGCACACACTGGAAAACTTACCGTCTTAACCATCTCTAGTTGCATAACTTGGTGGCATTACATACACCCATACTGTTGTGCAGCTGTCATCAACATCTACCTCTAGAAGCCTCGCAACTCGCCAAACTGTGCTCCAGTCATACTAGAGTCACCATAGTTCGCTCAGCATGAGGACAGATTTTCTCCTGCCTCTGTGCCTTTGTGTGTTATTCCTTCTGCCCGGAAAACACCATCCCGTGCCCCACCTGCATAGGCAGCCTGGCAAACCCTGCTCTTCATCCGTATCTCTGTGTAAGCCTATCCCCGGTCACCCTCTAGCAAATGCAGGTAGGTACTCTTGCTCCCGGGAGATGAGAAGCAAGAGGGAGGGAGCTCAACTGCCAGGATGCTGTTTCTTCTTGCAGGCAGGAAGGCCGAGAGTGTGACTGCATGAACGACTTGCATCTTGTAGCTCCACATTAGGAAAATATGGTTTCGTGCCCAATGTAGTCCTGGTCCTTGTATATACTTTTACTTTCTAAGAAACAAAGTTCCAAAATTTTAGTCATCTTAAACCTCCTCCTCAGTCCCTATCCAACTATATTTAGGTAACTCTCCCAGTGCTTTTCAACCTGGGCGACACCGCTGCTGCCCCAGGAAAAAGCTAGGAAATGCGCAGCGGTACCACCAGCCATCACAAAGACCTGTCATGGGGAGCCCCTCCGCTACCATTTCGTGGCCAGAGGTCAGGCATAAGCATCCTGCAATGCAGCAGTCCTGTTCAACACAACATTTCCCGTCCAAAAGGCCAATAGCTCATGTCCCTCGCTCCCTGAGAAATGTCGAGCCACATGCGGAGTATCTAGAACGCGTGCTCTCAGTGATTCTGTGTAATGTGAACTTTCGCAAATGATTTTTAAAGCTTGGTTTTGCTTCATCTGCCCAGGTAATAGAGAAAACATGCAGAGCAAGAGAGGCATAAAGTAAAATGGTAAGGGTGACTGGGTGGAAGTGGTGCCTTTAACCGGCACAGGGAGTGCAGATTCAGGTGGGGTTGCATGAGGAGCCTGGAGCTGGTGGAGAGATCGGAGTTTTGCAGTGTGAATTTAGGGAGTGACAGAACCTAAGTGGCAGTGGAGACAGGAAGTATAAACAAGATCAAGATAATTCCGAGGGAGTAGGCAAGGTGAGGACAGAAAGTGCCCCCAAGCCTAGAACCCTAAGAAGCGGCGATAGAGCCAAAGCAGAGGTGGCCAGACTAGTCAAAAGCTCAGGAGTGTCAGGAGCTACAGAAAAGATGGACTGAGAGAGACCACTGGATCTGGCCAGTTTCTGGGGAGTGTAGGGCTGAACAGGGAGCACGGGGTCAGAACAGCGGTCAGAACAGCACTGAGGCAGGGAGCCTTTCTGTGAACTCAGGAGCAAACGCTCAGAGGAACCAGCAGGGGAGAAGGTCTCCTTCCCCCTGGGAAGGAGTGCCACGCAGAGGCAGACGGGTGGTAGGCTGCACAGGGGGCAAGGAGGGTCTCGGTGTTTCCCAGCCTTGCTCCCATTACTGTCCCCCAAGGAGTCTTTTTCCTAACTGCACTCCCTCATGAAGTCTTCATACCCTGGCAAGCAGCCAGGGGGCCGTGCGGCGAAGCAGCCGGGTTAGTGAAGGCTGGGGGGACTGCAGGGAGGGGAAAGTGGGTCCTCAGATCCCGCGGCCGCTCCAGCCTACCAGCCACACTGCCCCGTGCCCTTGTCCCCAGTGCCAGGATGGGGAATGCCCTCCCTGTTCCAGACCAAGCCCTTCCTAGTGCTCAGGGTCCTGTGCCCATGGGGTCCCTCAGGGTCTTATTCTCTCCCCCTCCCTCTCTGTGGGTGCCTTCTCAAGTTCACGTACCCTGAGCCTTCCAGCTCAAGTGCCATCCCCCTTCCTCTACTTTTTACTCAGCAAGCTCAAAACAGAGCATCCCTAGCCATCTCGTTCTCCCCTCGACTCATCTGTATAGGGCTCTGGGCCTTTAGCCTCCGTGTGGTTCGGTGCGGGCTCTGGAGTCAGGCTGACTGACATGGGATCCTGGCCCCAGCCCTGCCCCTTAACCAACAGCCAGGAACACATTCCTTCCCCTCTCTGGAAGACAGGGGTGGTGACTGCATCTATGTCGCAGGGTTGTTGTGAATCTTTAAGAAGATACTACCACATGGGAAGGGACTAGCCCAGTGCCCAGCACACAGTAAGTGCTCAACAAATGTGAGCTGCCATCATTTTTGATACTAGTATTAGTTTTTCTAGTATTACTTTTTTAATTGATCTGTGTATCCTCTGTGTCTAGGCAAAAACAGGGCTTGAAGCTAACTAGAGAGCAGATGAAGTGCTAGATCATGGGGTCTGAGGTGGCAAGGTGGTTAGTTTTATGTGTCTGTTTGGCTGGGCTACATGGCACCCGGTTATTTAATCAAGCACGAGTCTAGGTATTGCTGTGAAAAGTATTGCCTTTCAGTAAAGAAGGTGGTCCTCGATACTGTGGGTGGCTTTTGCCAATTAGGTAGAAGGCCTGAGGCTCCCTGGAGAGGAAGAAATGCTGCCTCAAGGCCGTAGCACCAAGGCAGCCTGCATATTCAGCCTATCGGCACAACCTCTGAACACCAGGCTCACCAGTGCCCAACACATAAGCCAGCTCCTTACAACTGATCTCTCTCTCTGTCTGTCTCTCTATCTCTGTCTCCCTCCTTTGCTCCCTTCCTTCTCCCCTTCCCCACTTCTCTTATTGGTTCTGTTTCTCAGGAGAAGCCTGACTACCACTGTGACTAGCCACTAGTCACAGTGGCTAGGCGAGCTGTGACGCTGGATGAAGCCTGATGGCCTGGGTGAAGAGCCAGCGATCTAAGCCAAGAAACAGAACCATGATTATTTCCATCGTCCTTTTGCTTCCTTACATATCATCACCTGGAGTTAATGACTCATCTCTTCCTAACAAAGGGCAAGAGATCTTCATTACAGTAAGTGACCAGATTTCCTGTTTAAAACATTCTCAAATAAACGAAATCTTACCTCCAGGGACCGGTCGTGTCGAAAGCCCCAAACACAAGCTGCCACAGACACCGGGGAAACAAAGAACAGAGGCATGAAGACCAGAAGCCAAAAATGGCTCCCTCTTTCAATCCTGTCACAGACCAGAACTTCGAACATCAACAGGAGCAAGTGGATGCCCACTGCAATTAGCATGGCTTTAAACTCCACACATGTTTCTCCTTCTGCTCTAAAAAGGGACACAAGAAGAAGAAGAAAAATAGTCTCAGTTCAGAATCTTCAAACCAAGCAAGCAGTCCAGGCCAAATACCAACTTATGTTGATACCATGAACTGTAGTGATAAGTCTGACAAAAAGCGAAGGAAGTTAGGTAGAAAACTAACTTAAACTTCATCTTTAATATGTAATCTCCAAACACCAAAGAACTACTACATGGCAAGAAATGAACACTGCAGGCAAACCAAAGTTTTAACTGGGTAAGGATGTTCTCAGAAGTAATGGTCAGTTATTTCTCTGACCATGTACACAAATGGTTTTATTCACAACTTTGAATTCAGCTGCTTCCAAGATTATTCAAGCGGATTTCTTCTACCACTAACAACTGACAACTATCCCCTAAATCTCATGATCCTCATTCCTCAATGAATTAAAAACCATGTAAATCACATTTCATGCAACACTATAAAAATAACTAGCTTTATGAATCAGCGTGGGTGATAGTTCAAGAAAATATAGCAATTATTGTTAGGTGCTATTTTAAAATGCAAATAAAATTATGAATGCCTTTTTGTTTTCCTTTCTCTTCCACTGGGATGAATTAACACCTGCAGATGAAAGAGAAATAAGAACAGTGAAAACTGTTTGTTTTTTTTTTTAATTTTTTTTTTCAATGTTTATTTATTTTTGGGACAGAGAGAGACAGAGCATGAATGGGGAGGGGCAGAGAGAGAGGGAGACACAGAATCGGAAACAGGCTCCAGGCTCTGAGCCATCAGCCCAGAGCCTGACGCGGGGCTCGAACTCACGAAACGCGAGATCGTGACCTGGCTGAAGTCGGACGCTTAACCGACTGCGCCACCCAGGCGCCCCTGAAAACTGTTTTTAAACAAAATCAGTTTACCTAGCTGTTTACGTACCATGGAGGAAATGCTCTGATTGAAAACTGAAAAAGAATAAGGCTGCTAATCAAGAAAATGCTTACAAAAGCATCTGCAAAGCCGAGAACATTTCATTCAAAATACAGGTAAACATTTATGATGTATCTTCTTGGTGAAAATATACCTGGAAAGGAAGCCAGTGGTTACTTCTATGGGAACCAAGAACTTTCCACTGGATAATGTTAACACCAGAATGACCATGCCCCAACATTCACGACACTCAACCACACGCATATAATTCCTTTCCTTGCTCTAAACCACCTGTTGGGATGAGCCCTGGGTGTTCTATGGAAACCAATTTGACAATAAGTTATACTTAATATAAAAAATAAATAAAAAATAAAAAAAAATAAACATCGTAAATTAAACCACTAGGGCAAAGCTCAAATAGCTTCTAAATATCAATCAGTGGAATCTAAAATGTTTAGTTATTTAACTTTTCAATCTTTGAGCCGTAAACATTAGACATCTGAAAATATCTCATAAAAAAGAAAAGATTTGCCAGCTGCACAGGTAATCTTCAAAAATAAAGGAAGTCTAAGGACTTTAAAACAACTGCACACAAATGTCTCCCATCTGCCAAGGCTCTTTGTAGGACTGTTTTAAAGTTCTTAGATGCATATGTGCTAATGGGCTAAATCTTATTTTTAAAGTTGATCAAGACTGAAACACCTCCTGCACTTTTCTCACGAGCAGCTGAATGTGCCCTGCCTGTCCGCTGGGCACTCCTGCCCTCCCCCTCTGCCTGGCGAAGGCTGAGAACAGCCCCCCCCCCCAGTCCCCCTTTTTCCTTTCTGAAGTGCCGGTCTCTGTGAGGGAGAAGAGACTCTCCAGGCCCCAGCAACCTAGGCTGCACAGCAGAGGGAGCTGACTCCAGGAACCTGGACTAGCTGAGGCAGCCAAGAAAGGCTCAGGGGAGTTGAGGGTAAAGGTGACTCCTCTTCCTGGCTCCCAAATGCTCTGCTCTCCTTCATGGCATCTGGGCCTCAACTTTCCCTGTCTCAGGGACTCACTGTTTCCCAGCCAAACCACCTCACCCACACCACTAACAGCCCTAAAACCCCAGGACCAGAGGATTGGGACAAGGCGAACCCCAGCTCTGGGACTGAATTGGAGACTGATAGATCCCTGGTGACCAAAGCCAGGACTTTGTTTTGTAGAACTGCTCTTGCAAACATGATAGTCTTATACTTCCTAGTTTAGCATGGTGTAACAGTTCGATATTTTGGATGCATTTTAGTTTACATTGCCTATTGTGGGCCAGCTAGGACCTTAAGCACCCCAAAAAACACTGCTTATATGTAAAAAATGCATATCCAACAACTAATTTAGAAAAGTACTTAGGCTAGAACCCAGTTTGCCTATATTATGGTTCTTATAAAACCCCAGATAGGTAGAAAAAAATAGTGCTTATTTAATTAAAAGTGAAAAACAAGATCTTGCTCCCTTAAGGAAGAGACCAATCAGTTTTATAAAGCAGTATTACCGATATTGGGGATTTCGTGCCCAGACTCCAGTTCCAACTGAGGCTCCAACAATGACCATCAACTTCCACAGCCATATTGGAGCAAAAACAGCCCAGTAACTCCACTGAATGATGCCATCCAGACGAAGGGCCAGCAGCACAGAGAACAGCAGGAGACAGGCATAGATGAGGAATTTACTAGGAGAAAAGTAAAATGATTAAAGAGGACTCACTTTTACAAATATGTGATACTGAAAGGGAGAGTAAGAACAGTATTTTTGAGCATGTGTAAAGAGTCACTAATTCAACAATCGTTTATTGAAAGGTTCTATGCAGTAGACATACACTGTGTGTTAGGGGATAAGGGACACATAAAGAAGACTAAAATAAGTTCCCTGCTTTCTAGGGCTTCCTGGTAGGAGAGAGTCCACACAGAAACACGTCACTGTATGGGGTGCCTGGGTGGCTCAGACGGTTAAGCATCTGACTTTGGCTAAGGTCATGATCTCATGGTTCGTGGGTTCGAGCCCCGCGTCGGGCTCTGTGCTGACAGCTCAGAGCCTGGAGCCTGCTTCGGATTTTGTGTCTCCCTCTCTCTCTCTGCCCCTACCCTGCTGGTGCTCTGTCTCATTCTCTCTCTCAAAAATAAATAAAAGCATTAAAATTTTTCTTAAAAGAAACACACAATTATAATACAACATGATATGTGCTGGAATGGTGCTAGGGTAGACAGTGATGGAAACCCAGAAGAAGAAATATGGATTCTGTCTGGGGGTACTAAGAAGGAGAGAAACTTCCAGAAGATATATGGAAAGCTGCCAGGCAAGAAATATTGTGAAATGAGGAAGCATTCCAAGCAGAAAGAACTAGACGTACCAAGACATGGAGACTGAAAAAGGTTGACATGTTTACGATATGGTCAAGTTTTGTCACTAATTATTTGATTCTATTTAAAAAAATTTTTTTTTCAACGTTTATTTATTTTTTTGGGACAGAGACAGACAGAGCATGAACGGGGGAGGGGCAGAGAGAGAGGGAGACACAGAATCGGAAACAGGCTCCAGGCTCCGAGCCATCAGCCCAGAGCCTGACGCGGGGCTCGAACTCACGGACCGCGAGATCGTGACCTGGCTGAAGTCGGACGCTCAACCGACTGCGCCACCCAGGCGCCCCTTGATTCTATTTTTAAAAAGGCATGACATTTTTTAATCTTCAATGTTCAGATACAGTAACATTTTAGTACATGTATTATAATTTCTGTGACTGAATAGATTTCTCTCTCGCACTCACTCTCGTGCGCTCTCTCTCTCTCTCTCTCACACACACACACACACATTTCCCATAAAAGGGATTTCCTGAAGATAATGTCCTTAAAATAGTTAGAAATTACATTGTTGAGGTCTTCTATTTTCAGCTTTAATGAAGTAGGAGGAATGGGGTTTTTCTTCCAACCTTAAACAACAGACTGGACAAAATATATGAAACAACAGTTATCAGATACTGGACAACGGACAACAAAGGACTGTGATGACAGGGAGGGAGGGAGGGAGGGAGGGAGGGAGGAAGGAAGGAAGGAATGAAGAAAATAAACTTTATTAATGCTCCAGCTTACTGCCTAGAGGCAGTTCCCAGGGTTCAGCAAGAGGTAGTTAAAACCCAACCCTACTGACAATCACAGTAAGTGTAAATGGTCTACCAGTTAAAAGGTAAAGATGGTCACATTGGATTAAAAAGCAGGACAACTATATGCTATCTATAAGAAACCTATGTCATGAATCGATAAAATCACAGATTAAAACTAAAAGGACAGAGAAAATTTATACCAAGCAAATACTGACCAAAAGAAAGCTGCAGTGGTATAGTAATATCTGTTTTCATCTTCTATTGTTCCTATAACACATTATCACAAACTTAGCAGGTTAAAACAATACAAGTTTATTATCTCACAGTTGTGTATGTCAGAAGTCCAGACAGGCTTGGTTGGTTTCACTGCTCAGATGTTCATAAGGCTGAAGTCAACATGTCGGTTGGCTGGACTCTTATCAAGGGATTCTGGGAAGAATCGCTTCCAAGATCATTCAGGTGGCTGGCAATTTGCTTTCTTGTGGTTGTAGGACTGAGATCCCAGTTTCTTCACTGACTGCCAGCATGGGGCTGCCCTTAAGATCCTAGATGTCTCTCTCTGATCCTGGCACATAAGCCTTTAAAACTCAAAGCCAGCAACAGCACAGTGAATCTTTCTCATGCTTAGAATTCTTCTGACTTCCCCTTCTGCCATATTGCTCCTGCTTCCATAGAAGGTTCTTTGCTTAAGAGCTCATGTGATTAAATTGGGTCCACCTGGATAATCAGGATACTATTCCTGTCATCAAGTCCATAACTTTGGTAGGCAGAATTATAAACATGCCCCCCAAGATTCCTGTCCTCTGTTTATTCAATTAAATACTAATCTAGGTACTGCCATGATAGGACTTTGTAGATGGAATTATTAATCAGGTGACCTTAAAATATTGGGGATTATCCAGGTGAGCCCAATGTGATTATATGAATCCTTAAAAGCAGAAAAGGAGGCATAAGAGTGATTCAGAGAGAGACAGCAGAAGAGGAGAGATGAGGCCGAAGGGGAAGTCAGAATGATTCTAAACATGAGAAGGACTCGACCTGTCTTTGCTGGCTTTGAAGATGGAGGAAGGGAGCCATGAGCCAAGGAATGCAGGCAGATTCTAGAAGTTGAAAATGACCCCTGCTGACAGCCAGCAAGAACACTGGAGTCTTCTGTTAAGTTTCTCAGGATCCACATAAGAGTGAAAACATATGGTATCTGTCTCTCTCTGTATGACTTATTTCACTTAGCATAACCCTCTCCAGTTCCATCCACATTGCTACAAAAGGCCATATTTCATTCTTTCTCATTGCCACGTAGTATTCCATTGTGTATATAAACCACAATTTCTTTATCCATTCATCAGTTGATGGACATTTAGGCTCTTTCCATAATTTGGCTATTGATGTTGGGATGAGCACTGGGTGTTGTATGGAAACCAATTTGACAATAAATTTCATATTAAAAAAACATGATAAAAAATAAAATAAAATAAAAATAAAATAAGTAAAGTGCTGTTGAATTCATAAAAAAAAAAAAAAAGAACATTGGAGTCTTCAGCCCTACAACTGCAAGGAACTAAATTCTGACAACAACCCAAATGAGTCTGGAAGCAGATTAATCCCCAGAGCCCTAGAAAGGAATGTGGCCCTGCCAACACCTTGATTTTGGCCTTGTGAGACTCTAAGCAGAAAATCCAACTTAGCCCTGCTGTACCTGTACTTCTGACCCACAGAAATGTAAGATAATGAGTTCTGTGTGGTTTTGAGACACTAAACCTGTGGCAATTTGTCATGGAAACAACAGAAACTAATACTGTCACCTTAGATACTTCTGCAAAGTCTCCCTTACCATGTAACATAACAGTCCCAGGTTCCATGGTTTAGGGCCTGGATATCTTTGGGGAGCCACTTTGCCTACCACAATATAAGACAAGGTATATTTTTGAACAAGGAATATTACCAGCGACAAATAGGGGCAGTTAATAACAATAAAGAGGTCAATTTGTCAGAGGATCTAACAACTGTAAATATTTATGTACCTAATAATGCTTCAAAATGCATGCAGAAAATAAAGGAAAAATAGAAAAATCCACAATTATTACTGGAAATTAACATTTCTCTCCTAAACAACTGATAGAACACATAGAAATTACTAAGGTTACACAAGAGTGCAATAATGCTATTAACAAACATGACCTAATTGATACTGATAAAGCATTCCTCCCATAACAGCAGAACAGAAATTCCTTTCAAATGCACATGGAATATTCACCAAGACAGGCTGAAATCTGGGTCATAAAACAAGACTCAAGAAATTTAAAAGAATCAAAATCATACAAAGTAAATCTCTAGGGGCGCCTGGGTGGGTGGCTCGGTTGGTTAAGCGTCCAACACTTGGTTTCAGCTCAGGTTATGATCTCACGGTTCATGAGTTTGAGCCCTGAATCGGGTTCTGGGCTGACAGCATGGGGCCTGCTTGGGATTCTCTCTCTCCCTCTCTCCCTGCCCTTCCCCTGCTTGCACTCTCTCTCTCTCTCTCTCAAAATAAATAAACTTAAAAAATTTAAAAAAAGTCTCTATACACAATGAAATTAAACCAAAAATCAACAACAGAAAGATACCTTGAAAATTCTCAAAATGCTTGCAAATTAAACAACATGGTTCTAAATAATCCATAAGTAAAGTAAAAAACCACAAGGAGAATTTGAAAATTCCAGAATAAATGAAAAGTGGAAACACAACTTACTAAAATCTGTGAGATATGGCTAAAGCAGTACTTAAGGGCAATTTATAGCATCAAATGCTTTCATTAGAAAAAACATAAAATCAACGTTCTAAGGTGCACCTTAAGAAACTAGGAAGAGAAGGAAACTTTAAAAAGTAAGCAGAAGGAAGGAAATGATAAATATAAGTGCAGAAAAATCAATGAAACTAAATCCTGGTTCCTTGAAAAGATCAAGAAAAAGAGTAAACCTATAGTCAGAGTGATCAGAAAAAAATAGTGGGCAAAATCACCAATATCAGAAATGAAAGCAGGGACATTACTACAAATCCTACAAACATTACAGGGATTAGAAGGGGATATTATGAACATCTTTATGCAAGTAAATTTCTTGAGACATTATCAAAGTTCACACCAGATGAAATATCATGTCTGTATCTATTGAATAAACTAAAACTGTAGTTAAAATCCTTCTCACATAAGAATGAAATATGGCCCTTTGTAGCAACATGGATGGAACTGGAGAGTGTTATGCTAAGTGAAATAAGCCATACAGAGAAAGACAGATACCATATGGTTTCACTCTTATGTGGATCCTGAAAAACTTAACAGAAACCCATGGGGGAGGGGAAGGAAAAAAAAATAAAAGAGGTTAGAGTGGAAGAAAGCCAAAGCATAAGAGACTCTTAAGAACTGAGAACAAACTGAGGGTTGATGGGGGGTGGGAGGGAGGGGAGGGTGGGTGATGGGTATTGAGGAGGGCACATTTTAGGATGAGCACTGGGTGTTGTATGGAAACCAATTTGACAATAAACTTCATATATTGGAAAAAAAATCCTCACGAAGAAAATGTTAGGCTCTGAAAAAAAAT